TATATACATATATATATATATATATGTATATAATAATTATAATAATAGCACCAGAACCAAGTTCCTTTCAAATTTTCTTTTGGTTATCAGAAATTAAAAAAAACAAAAAAACAATTAAAATACAATTAAATGAAATACAGTCGTTCATATTTTAATAAAACATATTTCTTTATCACATGTGAATTTGTTTCTTTTTTCTCTCTGAAAAGCATTTCAACTGAACAGGCTTTTGTTTTTTACAAGGTTACAGTATAATATGACTTAGTGGTCATAGTGGTGGTGCCTTAGTGGTTAAGGAAGCAGAATCCAGAAGGTTTCAGGTTCAAGTCCACCCTCTGCCCGGTTACCACTGAGGTCCCCACACACTGCTCCCCAGGCTCTTAAAGCTGCCCACTGTTCACTTTGGTGATGGGTTAAAAGCAGAGGTCACATTTGGTTGTGTGCAGTGGTGAGCTGTGTCACAATGACAAGGAGTTCACTACACACAAGTAGTAGTAATGTAGTAAAGTAGTAGTAATGTAGTAAAGTAGTAGTAATGTAGTAAAGTAGTAGTAATGTAGTAAAGTAGTAGTAATGTTGTCAGGAAAGTGAGAAGTGCTGAAAATGTTTCAGTCAAAGCTAAAAATAAAAACGGCCTAAAAATAAGCGGTTCAATGTGCTGTCATAGTATCATGTGACATATGTCTTTAAAGGCACATTCTAAAGAGCACAGACGTCTTTTCTGACTGTTTTGTTAATAGGGTTTTCAACAATATAAAACTTGTGCATTGAAAGAAGAAAATAATCATTGGACTCTTAATTTATTAATTCAGTAAGGAAATGATTTCAGAGGACTTTTTATTATCACTCTCTGCTCCAGTGCCAGTGTGAATATATTTCACTGTTCTACTTGGTCTTCTTAAGTTTTGGCGTGTGAGTGTGAAGACCTTGTCTGTGGCATATATATTTTTGGCCCCTGAAGTCAGAATTCTCTAGTTTGAATTGTTACCCTGATCCTCTCTTTTTTTTTTGTAATTATTTGCAGTCAATGTAAAATAATGAAAATAATGAAATGGTGATTAGAAGATGAATAGTTCTAAATGTGACCTAAAGGTCAAGTTTATAGGTGGACAGTGTTACTGTCAGGCTAACAGACTGGCTCATGTTACTCTGATTGAACTGACATGGTCCAGTCTGTTCCACTGTCAGTCTTCACTGCTGACTTTTGACATGATTCTCCACAGGCAGATTTTCAAAGCTCTCCCAGATATTACAGTTGAGGTTAAGGGAATATCAGCAGCTAGGTAATCTTAACTGGGAATGACAGTTTCCCCAACACTGTCAGCAAGCTATTTTTACTCCACTCGTTGCACATTATTGTCCCGAGGCGACCCACTTCTGTTTTATCTCCCACCCGGACGAAAAAAGAAACTCATTATTAAAACGTGCATTTAGGGTTGTCTGCCTCCACCCCAGGATGGATGCAGACTAATGTTGATTTATGATTGTCTCCCTTTAATCCTTTTAGTTTTTAGGATCCTGACTCTGGCAGCCAACGCACAGATTAAAAAAAAAGGCGTTCTGGTTTGTAATAATGCTGATGGCTAAACCAGGAATGCAATCGAAATGTCACAATGCCAGGTGTTTAAACATCATTCAGTGACATTTGCTGTGTTTGTGCACAGTGTGTGTGTGTGTGTGTGTGTGTATTCCATCTGTGCTTCAATCCCTGGCATTTTTAGGGATATTAAAAAAGGCAAAAATTAATAAAGTGGTGTTGGATGCTGCTTTTTCAAATTTAACAAGGTAAACACACTCACATTTTTTTAGTCCATGCTGACCTTTATTGGAGTTTACTTTTTTCATGTTTTATGGAATATTTACAGCCCTTTTATTCTAAGTCTTAGACTCAGATTAGGGTGAAAAAACAGTTATGATGACAGAAGTTTTCCTCATAAATTATCATAATTCTGAAGACATTTCAAACCTAATTAGAAGGTTAAGAGGTACAAACTGATTTTTCATCAGACGCTCATTTTCTGATACTATTTTGTTGATATAATGAAAGAAATATTGCCATTTTTCAAAGAATTTAAAGAAATAAAAATAATAACTGTATTTGAAGTGATAAAACCTGTCTTAGTACTTACTGACTCACTCAACAGTGCTAATGATTATGGTGGTGCTGAGTGTGATGATGACCGTGCTGTCAGGCCCTTGATTGGCTGGTAGTTTCTCCTGCTGTGATAAACACCAGACGTTGAGTTCCAGGCTTTAATGATTAGCAGATGATAAGGATTTTCATGATGGGGACGGCACCTGAGCCATCTGTGTGTATTGATGTATTGAAGCTCTTTTATTCAGCCACATTTGAAAGATATTGACTGTGTTATTACACTGCCAGACTATACAGTCATTTGTTTTTCTTCTTCAGATTCAGACTTTTTTATGTTAACCTTTTGTTCCTAACCTTTGGGTCTTAAATGTCTTCACATATTAAGGTTTTTTTCTTTCTTTTTTTCGGAAAATGAACGGAATAAAACATTTTTTTTCTTACTTTATGATCTAAAACACATTTCATGAACATTTGGTTTAATCTGGGCGCTAACCCTATGATAGGAACATGGACAAACGTATCCACTGTAACATCCGTTTATTAAAGGATTTGCCAGTATATTCATTGGAGGTAGAGTAGAAAACAGTACAGTACAGTTCATTTGAACTGAATTGTATTATAATGGAATTTTAAAATAGAAATGAAAAGGAGCAGCATTGGAATAAAATGGAGTAGAATATAAATAGTATGTAAATGAAATGATGGAAATAGATTGGAATATAAAAATAAACAGAATCATAATCGGATAGAACAGTTGTATTCAATTGTGTTTAGTTGTATTTGTGCCTTTTCCTCAGTCAAACACCACTGGACTCCTGGCCACTGCTTAAGCTCAGCTGGCCGCGTTGCTAGAAAACATTCCCAGCGACCCGTGGAGATGACCCATCTTAGGAAGAGTGTCAGGCCTGTCCATGCATCAGTGCAGAGTGCTGTAGTGAGGGGAGCAGCCAGTAACTGGCTGTCACTGCTCAACGTGCTCCCACTGCTGATTGCAGGAACCCTAAAGATAAAATCATTCCCCTTAAATGGTACAAAATGAAGCAGGTTCAGTAAAGAGTTGTGCTTCCTGCTGCATGCAGTGATCACATGGGCAGAGTGTGCTATCACACAGCATAGCAAAGCTGCCCTATTACAACATTTACAAAAGCTCCAGCCGTGGCTTTGAACTTTTAATTCAGAGGGTTTGAAAAAAAGCAGTGGTTGTTGCCCTACAGACATCAACTGACATCAAAAAAAGCCTGACCCTATATCCTTTTAACTTCAAATGGCCCCGTTTGTTGCGCTTTGTTCCCTGGCAGTCTTTTGGCTGGTTCCTTTATCTGAGGAAAATACTAAATGTGAAATGACAAATATGATATTAATCTCTACATTTATGGGCCACAGCATCAAAATGACAGAGAGTAAAAAAAACACAGAGGAAGAAAACTAAATTAAAATGAAATCTTATCTTGGAAGGGTAAGATTTAAAGGAAAAACAGAAAGAACCATTTAAATTTCCTCCAGCAGGGAGTTTTTGTCTTGAAGTATAGGGAGGAAAAGTATCCAATTTCACTTAACTGGTTTCATTGGTTATTATTGTTTGCAGTAGATTATTTACTTACTGCAAATCACTTCTCTTCATTCATCGATGTGACAGTGACAGGCAGCCAATCAAAAAATCGTCCACTGTTTCCCAACTTTTGGGAAACAGTGGTTTACTGTGGAGATTCTTGTCTGTATACTCTGCCTTTAGCATCAGCAGGGAGTTTGTGCCAAGGGAACTTTTACTAACTTACTTTTTTGTTTCCATTTGAATTGTTCTAAGGCCTAAATACGAAACATGAGGCTTGTGTGAACTTCACCTTTGGCCAAAACCTGATTGGACTGGTTGTTTACAGCTGACACTCAGGTCTAATCTCAGATTAGACCTGAGTGTCAGGCATCAACAACAAGTTCATGATTGAAGACGTGTGCAGCTGCTTCCCATGATCTGAAGTCGATTGTTATTTGGTCAGATTATGAGGGAGTAGTATGCAGTAAACCTTATGTAGTGGCTGGTGAGTACATAGACTTTATTACCTTCAAGTTGACTCTGTCACACCTCACCTGTGGTCTTGCCTAAGCATGGTTGTAGGTGAACATGCAAAGATGTGTGTTGTACTGTCTCAGCTTGTAGCTTGGCTACATGAAGAGGCGGCGTAGAGCAGTGTAGAAGAAGACGTAGCAGGACTTGGGGTCGTTGGTGGAGTAATGGGACTTTTGTGGCTGTTTGTCATAAATGTGAAGAATAATAACAGTATTTAGGCAGAGGGTTGGAGAGCGTCCTGACAGCAGTCGTGTTTGAAACCTCTGCTTTCCAACACGCCTTTTAATGATATCTCTCTCTATTACTGTAGCCTCAAAAAGGTCACAGTGCCGGAAGAAACTGGTGTCCTGTATATTTCTATGAGACGCAAGAAAATGAACCACACTGCAGAGCACAATGTACTTATTATGCAAAAATGAACATCATATTTACCTTGTGTCTGCCCCCCTGGCCCTGTCTTCTCTTGCAGATAATGTTTACAGGAAGTGTCTTGAAAACGGGACTTGGGCGTTGAAGGGCAACTATTCCATGTGTACAGCCATTCTTGATACGGTAAGACTTTGGTGTGTGGAGTTTGAGTGCACCAGACCTGATTAATGAGTGTTTTCACCAAAGGCCTGTAACAGCTCCCTGTGTTAATCTGTAACCAGCAGCAGAAGCAAGGTTAGCACTGGGGAGATGGCTGCTGCTGCTGCTGCTGCTGCTGCTGCCGCTGCTGCTGCTGCTGCTGCTGCTGCTGCCGCTGCTGCTGCTGCTGCTGCTGCTGCTGCCGCTGCTGCTGCTGCTGCTGCTGCTGCCGCTGCTGCTGCTGCTGCTGCTGCTGCCGCTGCTGCTGCCGCTGCTGCCGCTGCTGCTGCAGCCGCTGCTGCTGCTGCTGCTGCTGCTGCCGCTGCTGCTGCCGCTGCTGCCGCTGCTGCTGCAGCCGCTGCTGCTGCTGCTGCTGCTGCTGCCGCTGCTGCTGCTGCTGCTGCTGCTGCCGCTGCTGCTGCTGCTGCTGCTGCTGCCGCTGCTGCTGCCGCTGCTGCCGCTGCTGCTGCAGCCGCTGCTGCTGCTGCTGCTGCTGCTGCCGCTGCTGCTGCCGCTGCTGCCGCTGCTGCTGCAGCCGCTGCTGCTGCTGCTGCTGCTGCTGCTGCCGCTGCTGCTGCTGCTGCTGCTGCTGCCGCTGCTGCTGCTGCTGCTGCTGCTGCCGCTGCTGCTGCCGCTGCTGCCGCTGCTGCTGCAGCCGCTGCTGCTGCTGCTGCTGCTGCTGCCGCTGCTGCTGCCGCTGCTGCCGCTGCTGCTGCAGCCGCTGCTGCTGCTGCTGCTGCTGCTGCCGCTGCTGCTGCTGCTGCTGCTGCTGCTGCTGCTGCCGCTGCTGCTGCTGCTGCTGCTGCTGCCGCTGCTGCTGCCGCTGCTGCCGCTGCTGCTGCAGCCGCTGCTGCTGCTGCTGCTGCTGCTGCTGCTGCCGCTGCTGCTGCTGCTGCTGCCGCTGCAGCCGCTGCTGCTGCTGTCGGGGCTTATTTATAGTAAATATGGATTCAGGCTTTAGTTTCTCAAAGCCTGCAGCAATGGAAGGACTCTCAAAAAAGTGCTGAATGTACTAGGGAAAGCCCCAGAGCATTGCATGAAGGAATCAGCTTCAAACACACAATGACTGCTCTGAATTTGCATTTAAAGCGCTGCCATTCCAGCTTTATCTTCCTTTTACCCAAACTTCTGGGCTTGGCTGGTTTTATATGTAGGTTGTAAGTCTGGAATCTCACTAATCAAGATGCTGCTGTTTCACATCTCATGTCTGTGTGAATTCTTCAGAAGAATCATAGAAGACAGCCAGGATTTTGTTTCTGTGAAAGAGCTTGGTTCTCTTTCCGCGACATTTTTGTTCATGCACATCACATGGTGTTTGTCAAGGATTTAAGCAGTCAGCTGATTTTTACCTCAGCCATAGAAGCTGTTCATTTTCATTTAAAGTGCAACTGATCAATTGGACATTTTATATATATACAGTGGAGCTTCAAGATAGAAGCCCCACAGAAATATGCTGTTAATTAATTAATTAAATTAACCCCCCCCCCCTAAACATAAAAAACATAAATATAAACAAATATATTGATAATATTAAATAATAATATTTAAGAAAACATTTTATATTGTTGTTATAAAAATGGGACAACAGGACAGAGACAGATGTAATAAGGCTGACAGTAATGGTTTTTGTTTCATCTTTCCTGTGATCAGTAAATTGTAATCAGTAAAGCTACAAAACACACACTATCAGTTATTAAAGCTGGAAGGTCGTTTAATGGAATGATTTTCTTAATTTCACACCCAGACATATTGTACTGTAACTCAGAAGTGTTTCAGTCATGACAGTAGTGTTTTTATTCATTGATACATTTTTAAAAACCAATTCATGTATGTGTTCATTTATTTGTGCACATAAAACGCCTTGCCCCTGAACGAAGTCCATGAGTAAGTTAAGGATCAGGAACTTATTTAAATAACCTGCACAAACTATTCTTTTTGGGATTAATTTGTATTGGTTAAATAGAAACAGAAGCACGGCAGCAGCTGCTCTGCACATACTACAAATCTACAAAACAAACAGTCAATGTTTAACCTTTACTAAAACAGACACACACACGCACACAGAGAGAGTCATCATTCATCGGAGTGAAAGCCTGAACACGGACAGTAGAATGAGCATGAGCAGCAGCTCTGACCGAGAGCCTGCCTTTGGTCTTTTCTCTCAGAGGCCGATGTCGGATCGATCCCTGTAGAAGATGGATAAAAAGTCTCTGACCTTTTCAAAAATGTGGATTTGATTTTTTTTTTCCAGGCCCCTTTTTTGTAGCTGTCATAAATCACTGGGTGGCAGTAATGGCTGCAGTGCTGTGATTGACACCAGTGTAAAAAGGAGGGGGAAGAGTAGAGATGTTCCCTCTTTAAGGTTCAGATGGTATTGAACCCGATCGTCCGTGGTCCCACTGGGCAGTGGATCAAAGCCCTGTGGGAAAGTTTGTTTGAGAATAAAAAAGTATTGGTTTTTCCTTTTAGGTGTAGCGAGCCCTGTTAGCATACACTCAGTGTCTCTTATTTCTTATGGAGTTTAGAACTCTTGTAGGCCAGGGGTTTAGGGAGACTTGATATTTGGTAGTAGGTGGAGCTAATCAAAGTTTGAAGCGCCTTAAAATCTTTGAAACCTTGACATTTTTAAAGTAATTTGAAATATACCACAAAAAAGAAAAAAAAAAGAAAATACAAAATCGAACTGTTCAAAGTAGCCCCTGTAGCATAGCCATCATTATACAGTATAATATAAAAAACTATATTGCATTACATTACATCAAATACATTTGCAAATGTGTTCTCTACTTGAATGAGATTTCATTTTTATTCTGTCACTTTGTGGACGGTCCCTGAGTCTATGTAAAAATAGACACAAAATCAATAAAAGAAAGGACGACTGTGGTTTCCTTCTTGAAACTGCAACATGGACTGGTTTTGAGCCTGGTTTTTCTCCCGCCCTTCTTTCCACTGCTCCATCTTTTAACTGTATGCAGCACTGAACCCCACCATCCCATTTTAACCCCGGCTTTACCTTATCCCCTCATCCTGCACCTCCACATCCTGGTCTCTCCTCTCAGCTCTGGAATCTATTTTTACCAAACCTCCTGTTGGTTTGATTTATGTCTCAGTGCACTCTTCAGTGTCTATAACAGGAACCATTCACTTATTCTCTGCTCTGTATGAATTCTTACGTACTGCGGGTGCATTGAGAGAGTACCAGTGCCTGAATCATTTGTCATGCTACCCTTGAGATGATCCCTTTGATCATGTGACTCTGCTCTGAACATTGTTCTGTTGTCCCACTGCCTAATGCATCAGCAGAGGGATTATATATATTTTTCTAATAGTAGATATTTCTCCTTTTTCAGTGGGAGACAATTTAAACAAAACAAAAATGTACCGCTATCAGAGTTATTTATTTTTATATGCTTTGTTTATTTGAGAATCTTATATTTTAAAAATATATTCTAATCCTCAATTGTTATTAAGTATTGCTTTAACCACTAACTTTTTCAAAAGATCAAAATATTAATAACAACTTTTAGTCGTTACATTTATTTATCTATTTTTTGGTTTATGTAGTTTGTTAAAAACATTAATTGATATTTAAAAGGCAGAAAAGATCAATCTCACTAATATGATAATAAGAGGAATCATATCAGATTAGTTCCACAAGATCTGGAGTGTCAGTTGGATTATTCTGGATATTTCAGACCTGTGCATGAATCGAGGCCTTTACCTTGACTTAACTGTAACAGAATACTGTCCGCCCTGCCATGGACTTTTTGTTTTTGCACATTTTAACTGCATTAATCATCAAAGAAAAAGACGATTCAGGTTAAAATGTGTGTTATGATAAAGCAGTCGTTTTTCACTCTGCTGCTCAGTGAGTTTTTGCAGTATTTTATAACCTGTCTGCAGCTTTATTGATAAAAAACAGTCTGTGTTGGTGAGCAAGAGAATCAATAGATAGATAGATGTGCTTTATTGATCCCAGGCTGGGAAATTACAATGCCATCTGCCCTGTGTAGATTTTGACTTGATATCAGTTGCAAGAAAATATACTGAATAGGGCAGATGATATGTCTCAGGACAGGGATTAAGTATTTAATCCCAGCATAGACACCCGTGGGTTACATAAATCCAGTTAAAGCACAGATTACCATCCATAGTCTGGGGAAAAGCTGATCACACTGGATATCCTAGGAGAAGGCAGCAGGTGTAAGGCGGTGATTTAGAGCAGCTTTTGAAACAACAGGAGACCTGATGAAAATGCTGCTCATGAGTTTAAACCACGGTCTGTAAAACCACGAGATGTTTCTGGGGAGTTATATGAGCTGAAAACGGACTCTCTCTATTGTGTGCTCCTCTAGAGGCTCAGCTCTCACAAAAAAAACCTAAATATTGTTTACAGTATTGCCCAATGTACATCTGTTACAGTACTTAAATATAAGATCAAAAATGAAATGAACTTTTATGGTAAACATTCACAAATCTTGGAATGGGTAGATGCAGCACACACTATTTCTAAAAAAACAACTTTTTTAAACTATTTTATAAACCATGGATAGAGTAGAATAGAAGGATCATAAAAACTCCAGCAAAGTTTATGTCAACACATCTCTTTGTGACACACCTTCTGTAAAGTTTGGCACCAAATCAGTCACACCCACCAATAATAAGCCTTTTATTTCTAATAGGTCACATTATAGCTGATAATTAACTTCTTTCTTGTTCTCTGAAAGGACATCTGTGTCTTTTCTTTGCCACTTTTCAAACTTTGAAATTCCTTTATTTGTATTTTACCAGTTGTAATGGAAATAAAACCACCTCATGAATGAATCTCTGCTCACTATCCACAAGTTCTTAAACATCACGTTGGTAAATGGAACGGCTGTGTTTGTGAGGTCTGTCTCACGTCCCTCCTACTGTCTGTGTGTACAGGCTGCAGGGGTCGCCAACTTATGGTGCCCAAAGACAGGACACTTAGCCCCCAGCTGCTTATCAATCCAACCAAAGAAGGGTGACAGTCCACGTCCTTCTGTTGGTGACGTGTGAATAATAAAAGAGTTTCACAGTGACCTCTGTTGTCAGACCTGTACAGAATCCCTATACGTTAAGGATTAGTCTGCTCTGTACAAACAGCAGTCGTTTCCTCTGACCCCATCCTGAATGTGTTCTTTTTTGTGTCGTATTACCCAATTTGGGACATAAGACAAATACGATTGATTTATTTTGACCCAGAAAGATGAAAAATTACCACTAAATTCACAAAAGTCCATTCAGCATTTCTGTGTAAGCCCCACACGGATTTACGTGCGCTCGGTTGGTGGGACGAATGATGAACAAGGTTGTCCATGTCGGCCACATAGGACTCCTAGTTGTTCTTTAACGAGAAATGGCAGTTTCCACTGGGTCTGAATAGAAACTGCAAATTAAGCCATGTGGAGTTCCGGTCCGGTACTTGGTAGGATCTGTTTTCTGAATAACTTTTCTAGGTTTCTTTACATTTTCCCTGTTGAAAGATTTAGAAGATGAAAGATTTTTATATTTTGATGTGACAAAGAAAACTTGCACATTGTCTTTTTTGTTTTGTTTTATGTTTTTCCCATATTAGACAGTGATTCACTTTGAAAAGAAATCATGTATTTATGGTAATATCTTAATACAGTATGTTCATTGTTTGTCATAGGTTTGAATCTCTCTTGTTCTTAATCAAGGATCTCAAGGTTTCCCTTTCCTGTTCTGCAGAATAAATACAAGATGCACTACCAGATCGCTGTGATCATAAACTTCCTGGGACACTGCATCTCCATGGTAGCTCTGCTCATCGCCTTCTTCCTCTTCCTGTGTTTGAGGTAAGATTTGCTGCTGTTTTCACCAGCCCGCTAATATTCCTGAAGAGACATCTTTAACGTGACCGAAACAGTCAGCCAGTATTCTCTGTACAGACCCCCGCTTCAAAGCAACTCTCGTCCTCTTCAAAAAACCATTTGGTCATGGGATAGAACCTTCCATATCTCAGTTCCGCAGATGCTAAAAGGCTTTAGACGTCCAGCAAAACTGGGGCACATGTTCCCACAAAAGGGAATAACCGACCCATCACAGAAACACCCCCCCCCCCTCCCACACACACACACACACACACACAAAACAGTGCTAGGGAATCCTGCTGGGACAACTAGTGGAAGTGGAAAGGGTTCCTCTGACTCAAGTTGACTGAGCGTTAACAACAGAAAGGTCTTAGCACCTCAGCAGACGGACTGCTTATCGATCCCAGAGACACCCCCGGGAGTGAGAAAAGCGCTAAAGGGCACAGAGAGACGTAACAAAAAAGAATCTCTGCACAGGACAGCGTTTATGCACAAGCCGTGTTTTAGGGCCACAGTGGTTTGAAAAAGAAAGAGTGACAGGGAGGACAAGTGTCCGCCAGCTAAAAGTGGCATTTGATGGTAGTGAGGAAGTGGAAGATTTATTACCTGCTCGCTTTCTCTCATTTGTAAAGAGGCAGAAAGCGATTTAAAAGAAGGTTGCCCCAGGTTGATGTTTGGCAGAGCGGAGGAGGAAAAAGGCTGACACTCCTGCTCAGTGTTGAGGAAAT